GACGGATATTTCATTAAGTGGATAAAAGCAAAGCCAAGTTTTCATCTATAGTAAGTAAACCACATAAGTCGTTCATCTTCGTGTTTAATTAATTAAATCAAAACAATCTACCCCCCCGTTACTTATTTCTAGTTTTGTAAATAGAGAAGTATTCCTTTCCATGTGGATACGAACCTTACTTCATTATACTACGTATAATTGTTGTATTGTATTATTACTTTGGGTGCAAATCACGACAAAGTGCATGTCATATTTGGCGCCGTTGCCGGGGAAAGGCAATAATTTTTCTTTTTATTTTTATTTCAAGAAAAAATAAAAAAAATACTAGGTATATAATAAATAAAAGTATAAAAAGTTCTTACTTTTCTATTTTCTGAGCTTACATGAATGTATGGACACTAACATATCATCCCTAGAGAGTCAAATTTCCGTCTTGACTTCTCTAATAGAAAAGTTTATTTTATGTTCAAAATCTTAAGATGTCCAGACATGCAACATTTGCATGTCTCACAGGCATCTTACGGATTTTTGCCCGAAGCTCCAAGAAGAATGCTTTCAACAAATTGATGATGTTGGTTTCCAAGGGAAAATATCTCACAAAGGAGATATGATCTGTTCTCCAACACATATAATCCAGGAAGGAGAGATCATTTGTACTCAAATTCTTATTCTAGTATGTCCACTGAAGACATGATCCGAGCTCTCACTATCGACGTGACGAGTATGCAAAGAGATGTGTCACAATGCCTACAAGAAACAGTGTCCAACGAACAGAACTTGGAGAATCAATTGAAACAAATGCCAAGCATTGTGAACCACTTTGGCGAGGAGGAGGAAGAAGAGGAGCTTACGGAGAAAGCTCAGCCGGAGGAGGAGGAACCTCAAAACTCAACTCCACCACCGGCCATTCCTGAAATCATGCCACCATTTCTTGAGGCTCTAAGGGAAACACAAAGGGTGGAGAAGGACAAAAACATCTACGAAATCTTCAGCAATTGTGAGTATCATTTAGATTTCTCTTCATTCACAAATATGCAGGGAATAACGGTGGAGTTACGCAAACATTTCATACTCCCTCTTATACCACCCAGATCAAAACCTCTTCGATTGGCCATGCTAAGTGAAAATCATGGACCCTCACTCTCACAATATGAAGTGATAGAAATCCGGATATTTGATCCCGGAAAGATTGTCAAATTAAAGAGTCGACAAATTGAGCCTTTCTATAAGAGTCACCTGGGTGAAAATGTGAAGAAGAGGGATCATCTCGATCCAAGCCTAAACGACTGAAATTAAAAAAGATGGTGTCGTGCCACGACGTTAAATAAGGCGCTTTTTGGGAGGCAACCTAAGCGAGGTACATCATTGTGTGTTTATTTTATTTTTGTCTTTTTCTTTCCCCTACACAACCTCCTTTTCACCTCTTTTCATCTTTAATCTTTCAAACCACCATCCAACTCTACCCCAATCACCCCAACCCTCATAACCATATCCTTCTTTCCTTAAAAATCTATCCAAATCCTCCACCAAACCCCACACACAAAACAATCAGCATCTTGTTCTTATCACTTTCTTCTTACTCTACATACCCTCTAATCCATAAACTCTTACACTCACCCCTCTCCCAAACCACAATTTTATATCTTAAAAAAACTCAAAAAAAAGTGATGGCGATAACGAGCACTAGGGACAGTGCTCCGAGCTAAGTGAGGGGGAGTCACTCATTGGTACACAATTAATTTTTCTACCTTGTAACTTGCATTATTTTCTTCACAAAAAAAAATAAAAGAAGAGAAATGCTAGTTAGGTTGAAAACCCAAAAATGGGAAAGCTAAGCAAAAAGGGCTTATAAAAAAATGAGTGAGTTGGAAAGGATGGAAAAACAAAAAGAGATGCTACGATGAAAACCTGAAAAGGCTGCTAGGAAAAATGAGAGATATGAGAGATATATTTGTTTTTTCAGAACATCATTTAATCTCTTGATGGAAAAGAAGAATAAAAGAGGTGAAGAAAAAATGAGCATAGAAGGCCATGAAACCCAAGAAGATGTTATTTTTTTATTGAGCTAAAAACTCAATGTAAAAAAACATGTTTTATCCTTGGTGGTCTTTTGCTCTTTCTTGTTGACTATTGAGAAATTGGAACTGTTAAACATTTGACTTTACTCGAGGACGAGTAAAGAAGCTAAGTGTGGGGGAGTTGATATTCGTGTAATTTCTGATTATATGTTTGTATTTTTAACTAGTTTTTATTAGTTCTAGTTGTGGAAATTACACACTTTTGGTGTAATACTTTATTTTCATTTTTTATTTGTAATTTGTTTAGATTAGGATTATTCTGAGCTAAACGGGTCAAAGATCATTCAAGAGATCAAGATTGGACCTTAAAAGATCAAGGAAAGTGCAAGGAGGCAAGAAAGATTTCGATTTGGAAAAAATATTCATGTACCCGGTTGGGTATTGCCTATACCCGATCGGGTATTTGATTGATTCGATTGTCCAAATCAAATCCGGGAACAAATGATCGTGGGAGCGAATTTTCGTGAAGATTTGTCACATACCCGATCGGGTATGCCGACATACCCGATCGGGCATGCCCAGAAAAGTGACATTCTAGCTAATTTCCTAATATACCCGGTCGGGTATCCTATATATCCGGTCGAGTATCAGACCCTGCAGCTCCCAAAAGCCTATAAATACACCATTTTCCTTCCCAATAAAATCACCAATTCACATATACTTCTAAGCTCCGTTTAGACAAGTTATTTCTTTATATTTTCTTCATGTTTAGTCTCCAAATGAGGAGCTAAACTCTTCCATCTTGGTTTTGCTACTTTGAAGCTTAATGAATTGTAAGTTGTGAGTTTTTTTCTTTAATCTTCTTCCTTGAATATTAATTAATTCCTATTCCTATTTCATATTAATATTTTGAACATTAATTACTTAAATGATTAACTAGTTACTTTCATATATTAATTATTACTAGAATCGATCGATTAATACGCTTGTTATTAATTCGGTCTTTTCACGGTAGTAAACTTGGGTTGTTAATGCATGTGTCTCATGGTTAATAACCGAAGGGGAATTAAATATATTTATTAAACCGATAAACCGCTTGTGTTGAGGTTATCAATCTCAATCGTTTTCATCTTGATTTTATTGCTACTATCGGGTTAATGCACGGTGCATGTTCTATATTGACTCGATAGTAAGTTTTATTAATGAACGTGTCTAGTTATTAATAATTAACTACCCTCGATGAATTGGATATACTCCTCGATTGAGTATTCGAGAGGAAGATAGTTAAAGATATAACGGGGATAGACGAACATTTCATTAAGTGGATAAAAGCAAAGCCAAGTCTTCATCTCTAGTAAGTAAACCACATAAGTCGTTCATCTTCGTGTTTAATTAATTAAATCAAAACAATCGAACCCCCTTGTTACTTATTTCTAGTTTTGTAAAAAGAGAAGTATTCCTTTCCCTGTGGATACGAACCTTACTTCATTATACTACATATAATTGTTGTATTGTATTATTACTTTGGGTGCACATCACGACAAAGTGCACGTCACAGGCTTTTAGATAAACTGTGGTAGAAGAATAAACGTTCAAATTCAATTCAGAAGAATTAAATAAAGAGCTTTCAAATCTCAAGGCGGGGGTAAACCTTGAACCCACCTCAAATCTGTTTTTGTTCTATTCAACTCCACCTGCTTCAGAGTCTCACATTGTTTCGCCTTCTTTTCTTACACATGGTAACGCTTCCAAACCATAAATAGTATAGAATTGTTATTGTTTCGGAAGTTACACACTTTTGATGTAATACTTTATTTTTCCTAGTTGTTTGTAATTTGTTTAGATTAGGTTAAGGAAAGTGCAAAGGAACAAAATAAAGTGAAAATTTGGAAAATTAGTTATATACCCGGTCGGGTATAGCATATACCTGGTCGGGTATAGCATATACCCGATCGTGTATGGACTTGACCCGAGTATCAACTCTGATTTGGGGGGAAATTATACATGCAGGATGAAGATGTAGCAAGATTTGTCTTATATTCGATCGGGTAAATCGACATATCCGATCAGGTGTGATGTGATTTATGAAGGTTCCGAGCAATTACAAACAATATGTGATCAGATATCCTAAATACACTCCTTTCCTTCCCATTTAATCACCAATTCTCATATGCCTCTAAATTCAATTTAGACAAGTATTTTATTATATTTTTCTAGTATGTTTAGTCTGTAAATGAGAAGCTAAATTTTTCCGTCTTGATTTTGCTACATTGAAGCTTATTATTTGTAAGTTGTGAGTTATTTTATGTAATCATCTTCTCTTGAATATTAGTCATATTCCTATTTTGTATCTCATATTAATATTTGAGCATTCGTTAAAGGATCAACTAGTCTTGTTTCATATATTATTTATTACTAGAATCGATCGACAGATACGCTTTTTATCTGCTCCGTCCTTTCAACGGCAGTAAACTTGGATTATTAATGCATGCGTCTCATGGTTAATAATCTAAGGGGAATTGATTATTGATTAAACCAATAAACTGCTTGTGTTGAGGTTGTCAATTTCAATTGATTTCATCTTAAGTTTTATTGATTTTAGTATAAGGCGTGTGTTCTATATTGACTAGATAGTAAGTTTTATTAATAAACGTGTCTCGTTATTAATAACTAACTTCGATGAATTGAAAATACTCCACGATTGATTATTCGAAAGGAAGATAGTTAAAGATATAACCGGGATCGACGAGCATTATATTTCACATATATAAGTCGTTCATTTTAGTGTTTAATTACTCTTAAAGTTTTAAAAAATCTTGAAAAACCCCTTGTTACATTTTCAAAAAAGAAAGATATTTCTTTCCTTGTGGATACGATCCTTACTACGCTATACTACATATTACTATATTAGTGCGAGTATTGATATCATTTTGAGGCACACAATGGCTTTAGTACCATCAGCCTCACACTGGTCTCTTGTTGTTGCTTGCCTAACTCTACATAGGCTTCTTCATGGTTGTTTTCTATAAGAACCAATAACCTGTATGGGCTCGCCTCCCCCCATCCGTTGCATGCCCCTCCCATCTCAATATGAGTGCCTTTTCACAACTTGATGCCTTGCTCTAGTACCAACCATTTATTACCCACGCTTCAACTACTTCACGTTTTCACCCACTACCCACTAGCAGTCTCGGTTTGCATGGCTTGATACTCTCCGGTGAAACCTATTTAAACTCAAAAGGACAAAACCTATTTACACCCAATAATACAACAAGTAAAAGGGAAATTATGAAGTTTTACATATCTGAAATCAACCCAAAATCATTCACTGTCCTCCCCCTTGAGTTTCATTCTTCTCTTGAGAGGTTTACCAATATCAAGACAAATATGGATCCTGAAATGAGCCTTCAAGAATCCACCAAATTGATTTCCATCCACCTTTATGAACATCCCAAAAACCCCAATTCTCTATGCAACTCTTATGGTCATGAAACCTAGTGATAAATTATGGACTTGTACCTGATATTCTGTTATATTTAATGGAACTTTGATAATCAAGGATCATATCTAAGAACATGCCGCATATCCAATTCATTGGAAAAGTAAAAAAAATTCCTTTTGGCTTCAATTTCTTTGACAGAAACTCCTCATATAGAGGGCATAACTTCCTTAAACACGGTGAATTTTACCTCTTTCTCGGTGATAACCGTTCTCACAATGACTAGCTGAGATATCTCCCACCTGCATCCCCTAATCCTCACACAATTGCAAAAATCAAACCCTCATCTTCATCCTCTAGTGCTATGTGATGTCAATTCTTTTCCACATCCGATGGGTACCATGAAAAACGTTCGCAAGAATATTCTTGCACTCCCATTGCTGCAAAAGAATTGCAAGAAAAAACTTAGCACTAGACATCTTATTATTTCCTTTTTATCTGGGTTGTATATGGTACACACAGTATGCAAGTCCTTGAAATGAAGTCCATATATACATCATGCAACACAAATTTGTATTCACGGATTTACATACAAAGTGTATTATGTGAATACAACACACAAAGTGCATTGAGGTTAGGTGTGTTAATTCATCATAGCTCTTAATGATATGTTATCCTGATAGAGTGCATTTTTAATACATTTAATAACGTGGAATAGTTCAAATATGTATGATCTCCATGTGTACTACAAAATAAGTTTTTGCATTTCGTAACTTCTGTTATGTCCAACTTTAGTCTCGTAACATAATAATGTATAGTTTTAGTGTTATAACATATGCATGGTTTATGAGAAAACTCTGAAATAGTTAAAACACTTATTTAACCATGTTCATTAAATAACATGTTATAGATAAAACCACCTTGCATATCGAGATCTATTATATGTCACTTTTCATATAAATTGATGATATTATCACCATTGTTTAGCAAGATTTTTTATGGTACACTCGGATATGGCGTGCAAGGTACATTTACATCAAAGTTAATAATATCCAAATGAGTATTGTTTATATTCCAATAAGCAATGCACAACATCGAAATGACTATAACAAAAAAATTATAAGCAAACACAACTAACACTTTTCAAATGCAAAATCAGCAATTACAACTTACATAAATATCCACATACAAACTACTATTTGTTGTATAATGTACTTTTTACCTCATAAACAAGATTAGAGCTCTCAATATAGTTAGATCAAGTGACACTAAAACTAAAAATCTTCATGAATTGTTTGCTTCATTTGGGAATTATGAAAAATGTGATGTACTCCATTCACCAAATCATAAACCAATAGACCAATCTTCCCTCCAACCCAACTCCCCATAATGCTTCCACCACAATAACCAATCTTCCCAAAACTCTGCTCACCAAGAAATCCAACCAAATAGGTGCCAATCAAAGTGCCTGAGCTTCGTAGTGACCCTTCAGTCACTGTACCACCAAAGTAAAAAACTTCGAAAAAATCCCATCCGGAGGAAACAATGGGACCTAAAACACGATCGACTTGGCGTGTTGCCACTTTGGCAGCTCTTGTTGCCGCTTTATTCGCTTCTTTGGTTGCCTCTTTTGTAGACATCCCTTGTGAAACAGCATCAGTAAGAGCACCTTGCATTGCTACGCTCTTTGCTCTATCCACGTGAGAGGTTCTAATGCTGTAAGCATAAAGCTTTATAGCCTCCTTGGCTACGCACGCAATGCTTCCACTCCCCCCATCTAAACAATACATGATGTTAAACTGCCCAGTTTTAGATGAAGCTTCTTTACCAACCATCTTCCGACATCTTTCGGCTATAAAAATAACAATGTAATTTGTTCAAAATTAAAATGCCAACTAGTGCAAGAAACAATCATTAAAGTAGGTGATTCGATGGTGATGACATAACTACAAACTTTGTCTCCATACTTAAAGTCTATCTTTGACTTTTACATCCTTCTATCCATCTTGGACCATTATCATTTACACTTCAGTAAACTAAATATTTCTAAGGGAAAAGGTACAAATATACCTTATATGAGTATGATAACAAATATACCCATGTTCTATTTTTTTGAACAATTATACTGTGACACCGCACCCGGATGTACTTGAATTTGAAACTTAAAAGGTACTTGAACTTCCTAGCGAATAAATTTCGTGGGATTGATTGATACATTTAATTAATGTGAGATTAATTAAATTATTCTTCGGGTCCATTATATGAGAATGGACTACCAAATATTTAGTTGGGTCATCATAATAAATTATAGAAGCCCAATAAAGTGCCAACAAAAGTTGATAAAAATATTTGGACAACCCGAGTGCTATTTTGGCCGAACCTACCAAAAATAGCAGGAATAATTGGGAGGGACTTCCTATACCCATTTGGGGTTTCCCTACAAGCCTTATAGACTTCAAATAATGTAAAAGAGACATCCCAACATGGGGGGGGGTGCGGACTTGTGGAGGGAGGGGATTGCATGAGACAAGAAATACTCCCTAAAGTCCTATCAACACCCTACCTTGGTGTTTGATTGAGGATAGATACATCCCCTTCCCATTCCACTCATTCGAACCAAGAGAAGAGAGAGAGAGGCTCTAGAGAAGCTCTTCACATCATTCATATCTTGGAGGAAGCAAGAGAAAACGAAATCCAAGGAGAAAGAGCTAGGATTGGAGGTAAGAACTCATATAGTTCTTTAACTAGCTTTATTTTTGTATGATTTTTAAGAAATCATATGATGGATCAAACATGAAGTTATACACGTTTAAAAGTGTAGAATAATGTTATAAAGTGGTGGTAATTAACTTAGAAGAGTCGTGGAATCGATAGGAGTCGAAATCGCCGGAAACCGCCACTTGAAGGAAGCTGTTCGTAGCTGCAGACGACGAAAGCCGCCCACCTTTCACCAAAGCCGCCCGGCTTTCGTCTGCTGACCAGATTTTTCATCTCCAATCGGTTTAGAACGGGGATTGATCGGAGGGCTTAGCGAAGGCAACTATTTCAGCACTTCATAAGGTGAGGATGGCTGACTATATTGCTTATAATCTTTGGGTTAATTTCGTAGGATTACCTAAAGTAAATAAATGTGATTTTCATGGATTATTAATGATTAATAATGCCTAAATGAAAATATTGTTGTCAATGGATAAAGGAGCATAATATACAAGTTTAAGGATAAATTGTGTATGATTATGTAATATGAGCATATTGGCTTGATGAAGGGATTAATTATAAATATTGTGTCGAAATATAACTATAACTTCATATAAGGATATATGAGTGATTAAAGGTTATATTTTGTATATTGATATGAACTATATTTTCAATGGAAAATTAGTTTGGAAATTGTCTATATGACTATGAATTGAAAATGAGTTTTGTTGGAATTTATCCGACTAGTATTATGATACTAGTCGGGGTTTTGGAATGAAATATGTTAGAATTGATCCAAGGTTTGGATTGTAAATTGTTGAGCCTTAAGTAGTCTTAAGAGATACTAAGGTGGATAAGTGATGCTAGGGGTAGGCCTTAAGGGATACCCAAGATAAAGTGAATAATAAATTGATCCTAGGAATAGGATTGGCCTACGGGTGTATTCGGTAGTCTTTAAGGATTAGCCGATAGAGTATTGGTAATTAGTAAGGACCATGGCCCTTCCCGACTCTAGAGAGCGGGGTTGGATAGCATGGACTTACATCGTGATCACGGGTTAGGGTGGAATCCGAACCGGAGACCTTACGAGGCTCCCGACAGCGGTAACACATAAGATAGGACCCCGAATGAACCTTACCTTCCTACGGGACGATGGGTATGAGTTCAGGGGCGGGATGTTGGACTCCGGCCCGAGAGCCCGGTGAGGCCTCGGAGAGCGGTGACAAGTCTCGTAAGGATGATAAGACCTACGGGCGGTGTCGTGTAAACGACGATTGAAATGAAATATAAAAAGGGGCCGTGTGCCGACAAATTAATTAATTAACTTATTACGAAGATAATAAGGGTTAAAGAAGAACTATCATTATATTATGATATCACTCTATTTTGAGGGTCTTAGAAGTTGAAACATTGATTATACTTAGTATAGTTGTCATTGTACTTGTCAAATGCTTCCAAGTACTGACCTCCCCTTCACGGGGGAGGCCACCTCACAGTTTCAGGTAGAGAGTAAAGCTTGCTACCATCGCCCGTTGCTTCGGGGAGCTCAGGGAGAGAAGACGTGGTTCGTGCTTCCTCCGTTCTATTTTTAAAAACATTAAATTAATGCTCATGGATATTACTTTGATTAATTATTTGGGGCTTGTACGCCCATGTTGCCGAAGTGTGGCATAAACACTTGTATTAAACGTTTCCGCTGATTTAAATGATTATTTTACATTATGTTTGTTTATGGATGTACTATTGTGAATGATATTCAAGACGCCTAGTATAGTATGGATGAGTTGGACTGCGGTTGACTATTCGTACTGTACGGCGGGTTGTTGACGTGTCCGGTAGGTCCGGGGCGTGACATATACTATTGAAGTATATGTTGAAGTGCATTTATACCAATGCACTTTTAAAAGTGCAAAAATAACCCTCATGTTCTTATAAAAGAGCAAATTTGAACTTATCAACTTTAAATAGACAAAAAAATTCAAAAAACACCAAAAATAAAAAATATAAAGTAAAATAAAAAGATTTATTTTTGAAATTTATTTTATCAATTTAAAGTCGATAAGAATATATTTTCTCGTTTATAAGAACATGAGAGATATTTTTGTATCTTTTAAAAAGTTCAGGAGTATATATGCACTTTCACATATACTTCAGAGGTATATTTGTTCAGAAAAATAGAACATGTGTATATTTGTTCTCACACACATACTACAGGGGTATATTTATACCTTATTAAATGAATTATTATTCCAACAATATGCAGTCATATATATTGTTCAAAGGTATTCGAGGTTATATCCTTTAATATATTATTTGCAAAATTAATGATCAAAATCAACAAACTTTCACTTCAAAGATTAAAACAAAAACTTTAGAAATGAAGGGAGTATCGTTCAAGGTAGTTTACGATTTAAACATGACTACATGTCATTCTTAATTTAGAAATTGCTCAATATAAGACTAAAACATACACAAAGTTCAAAAATATGACTAAGTATATTTTATTTCCTAAATAGGACTTATTTAATCCTATTAAAAGAACAAGTTGATTATAATTTCCCAAACTAGGAGAGTTCTATTTAGGGAATAAAACATTGATAGTACTATGTATGAATTTTATCATTATTTTATTTTAGTCCTACTTAGAGAATTTTCTCATTCTTAATTATGTTTTGAATAGAGATGGATACAGTTTTGGCAAAAAGCCCTCACTAAAATAGGCATATTTATAGCTAGCGCATGTTCATGCAACTTCTCTTAAGGCTTTGTGACTTTGTGTAAGACTAGTTATTCATTGTTAGTCGTTTTTCACAGGTCAAAATAAAAACACAAAGTCACATGCTAGACTGGCGTATATTATGATAGAAGCGAGTCTTTATTGTTTTTTAGTGAAGCACCTAGAATTGAATGATCTAAACAAAGTAATGAATTTTATCAGCTACATGCTCTATTTCTTCTTGAGGTCCTTTAATTTAATTTCATTCAAGGACACCAAGTGAATTATGAACTAAGAGGGATTGATGTGACCTCTCCACATTGTTAGAAAAACTGCAAATTTGTGCAAGAAGATTGGTTATAAATTGAGCTTACAACCTCATAATGTTTGGGAATAAGATATAGGGTTGGTTTGCAACTGCTTTTAAAAAAGCACTTCTCAGCTTTTGGCTTTAAAAAAGCACTTATTTTTCCAAACACTACAACTTTTATTTTTCTCGGCTTCCGCGTCAAAAGTAGGGTTGTATACGAACCGAATCGAGTCGAATAGTAGGATTTTGTATTTGTATTTGTTTAATTTTTTCGAATACGAATTCAAATTCAAATATGAAACGAATATTAATTTCGATTTGTATTTGTATTTGTTTAATAATACGAATAGTTAACGAATCTTATACGAATATCGAATATATTTGAGCATAGGTTAAATATTAGTCAAATATCACTTTAAAATAAATTTTATTATATTTTTTTTATGTTGTAAATGTACGCTATGACTTAATATGTGTTTTTAGAATTTAAATTCAATGGATCAATGTAGTTTTAGATTGTGCACGATATACTTAAGTGAATCAATTTTATGATTAACAAATATAAATCTTTTTCAAACTTTTTGAAATAAACACTAACACACACATGTTAGAAATTATACTTATAATGTGTGAAATAAGTTGATAATTGTATATATCAAAGTCAAACGACTCTAATTTTATTCTGCAAATCAAATACATAATTATTTGTATTGTATTTGAAAGACATTTGAACCAAAAAACCAATTTGTATTTGTATTTATACTCTGACTTGTTACCAATGGACTTAGAATCTGTATGCATAAATGTATATATGAACTACACTTTAGGGTATTGCTATCTTTTAAAAGTTATTATAGAGTTATTACTATTATTATTATTATTATTAATATTATCACTATCATTAATCGAATATATTTGATTAATATTCGAATCGAATACATTGATATTCTTATTTGTATTTGATAACAACTCGAATCAAATTTAATATTCATATTTGTATTTGTATTTGAATTTTTCGAATTCGAATCGTCTTATACGAATTCGAATCGCGAATCGAGCAAAAATTATTTGATTCATTTACAACCCTAGTCAAAAGTGTTTTTACTTTTTCAATTACACAAAAAACACTTATTTTACCAAACACTACCCACTTTTACTTTTCAAAATCACTTCTTTCTCAAACACTATCAACTTTTATTTAATCACTTCTCCCCATTTCATTAAAAAAAGCACTTTTTTAAAAGCAGAAGCTGTTGCAAACAGACCCATAACTTCCTCATTTACTAGGGATCATCAACAGGCTGAGTTGGACCACATCAGCCCAAAACTAATGGTTCCGGGCCAAACCGGGCTGGCTCAGTATATAAAAATTTGTACTACTAGCCTTCTATATAGTTTGGCATAACCACTACAAAAAAACAACGATTTTGGCACCCATTTGGCACGGAGCTTTGGCACGGATTTGCCAAAATCATAGGGTATTCAGCACGGATTTGGCACGGATGCGTTAAACCTGTGCCAAATTTTGTACCAAAGTCGTTTTGACACCATCTATTTGGCATGGCGTTGTGCCAAAAAATAGTTAGAGTCCGTGCCGAACTCGTCCAATTCGTGCCTCTTTCGATGTTTTTTTGTAGTGAACGGGTCGAACTAGGTTTACCTACATGTAACCAATAGGGTTGGGCTTAAATGGGCTTACAATAAAAATACAAAAACTCTTATGCATTACAAAATACAATGTAATCAAGTAATGAGTGAAAATAGTTTTTTACTCCAAAATTGTAATAACAAATTGAATATTCATATTATAAATATCTAAGTTTTTGGTGTTGCGCTCTTGAAAATTAAAAGGGGTGTACAAATATGAAAATACCACACTTATTCTTCTTTATCTAAACTTCTCAAACTCTATCACAAAATATTATCACCTAACTATCATCCACAACTTCATTCTCTTCTACTATTACACATTACTTATACGAAGTATATGTTACTATATGGAACAGTATATAAATTTAATAATGTATAAAATGGCTTTTAGGCTACGCTTCAGTTGGGATTAATAGGCCAGGACGGAATGGGTATTGGCTCTTGACAGGTCGGGCCAGTTGCCGGACCGGGTTTCAAATGCTCTACCCCAAACTCACCCTTTCAAATAGTCGGTTGGGCCGGGCTGGGCATTTTGGAAATTAAGATAGGTAGTCCCCATGGCTCATGAGCCCACGGGCTAAATGATGAGGCCTAAGTTACACCTAGCTGACACTCAACCTTAAAGATTTAGCAATAAGAAATGCAGGTAGTTTAAACTTTAAATAATGTTTCAAAACTATTGATGCCAAAAACTTCAACATTCATCAATTCAAATTTATACCTACGAAACAAAAAGTAGCTACAAACTAAAATCGAAAAAATTTAGTTATGAAATTCAAACGTGAAAATACAACATTGCAGGCGGTTTGAAATTTTGAATTGAATAGTATTTGACTTCAAAGAATGTGCATTTTGGTTCAGATTTCAATATGAAAAGGCTCAAGGGTTTCAAAGAAAAATCATACAGCCCTACAACATGGATTTAATCACAAAGCCACTAGCTTAATCACCTCAATGTATACTATAGTTCACTAACAAAGATAAAAAATAAACACACTAAATAAATGTAGATGAATACAAACTGATACGAGTATTTATGTTCTACTCTTAGCAGCAAATCTGCATGTAACCGCAATAGAATGTTAATTCATTTAGTGACACTACTTCAGTTATTAACCTTGCTGGTTAAATGCTTAGATACCACAATCCAGATATTCAATAAACTGAGTTCAAGTAAACCAATCTATATTATGTTCACCAATAAAAATTTCTCAAAGAATGGAAATTTCGATCTCTCCTAACAATCCAAACAAGAAGACAATCCCAAATTTCAATCTTTTTTTAGTGCAACGGGTTATTACACATTAAATTTGATGTTACATATCTCAATATGTTAGGAACTTATATGGCAATTTATATCTGAATGCAGATGGTTTAACACCATTATCATAATATTGAATTCCTGAAATAATGAATAGTTTCTATAAATTGATTATTTCTATGGAATACCAATACAAAGAAACCTTGGAATTGAAAAGATCAAACCAAAACGTTTGTATACCTGTAGTGCTGAGACTGGCTACGGCAACAATGGCGAGGAGTAATTGAACCCTTTTCTTTTTCATCATTATATTATTGATCGATTTAATCCGTATTATGTGAAGGTGACTATGGATAAATTTTCTTGTTAGAGAAGAATCAAATGAAAACATCAGTTTAATTTTTAAAATTCATTTCATGTGGGTATCTGTATCTACATTTTAGAGAAGAATTTAGCAATAAACGAGGTGCACCATAGGTTAACCGGTTACTTCTACTAATATTTTTTTGACCAAAGCTAATATTTTATTAAATTCCCTTAATTGTTTAAGAATTGTAAGACATTTGTGTGGATCTTGTGGTAAATATTGCTAGCGTCCACATTTTCATTTTTTATATGATATCAATAATAAAATTTTCAAATGAATATGGATAGCAATTGCACCCGACTCGTTAAGCTATCATCAACCTAATAAATTTAAAAAGTAATTACTATATACGACTCAAACTCTTGTGTGAACGAGTGAGTTGATGACCAGTTGAGTTAGACTTTTCCTCTTATAAAATACATTATATACCAATATCATCTACTCTCTTTTTCCCTAAATTATATTTGAATTTTCTTTTTTCATCCGTCCAAAATAATCTCTTCTTTACTTTAATTTTATAGCAAAGAATTGTTGTTCATAGCATTTCTTACACATTCTTACACATTTCTACTTTTTTCCTCTACACAACTTTTCATCACACGATTCTCACTTTCTTAATTTCAATGCAAAACTTTATTTGAAAGTTAATTCATGGACATAGGTAGTAATGTAGTATTATATTAAAGATGATAAAAATGTTTTTCCAAAAAAGAAGAGTTAATTTATGAAATGTTGTAGTCATTCTATTTTTTGTGTGGTTATTATCCATATAGTCTTCTTGTATGTACCACATATCATTTATGTCCCTCTTATTTTATCCTTTTCATTTGTAAACTTTTCAGTTTTCAATTTTGATTTTTTTATTTCAGTTTTAGATGATAAGTTTTGCCGACCTCCTCCATCTACGTGTACTTCCGTCTCCTTTCTACGGAATAAAATACTACTCCCTCCGTCCCGCTAATATTGTCCCAATTTACCTTTTCGAGAAGTCCCGTTAAGATTGTCTCATACCAAATTTGGTAAAATTTGTGTGGCTCTAAACTATTCTTACTTTATTCTTACTTTATTAATTTAATATCAATCACACAAACTCACTTTATTAATAATCGTGCCACCGTCGTTCTCTTGTCCCAATCTTAGTACCTACTAAATTATATGAGGTAGTGTTTGTATACATTAATAGTAACATCAAAGTAATAATGCAAATATACATTGTAATGTTTTAATGATGAAAAGAAGTTATAATAGGTCAATGTTGGTTTTGTTAATTTATAAAACTCATGTGGATAATCCTAAATATTTACTTGAGACCTTCGAGTATCAACTCCATTAGTCTCTTAGTCCTGCCATTTATAATGTGTGTTTGTGGTGCACATTTTCCAACAATCTTTAATTTCTAATGTTTGCCATTCCTTGGATTGAATGAGTTGGCACCTCATATCGTTCCTTCACTTGACGTTATAAAAAAATCATTTTCATGTAAAGTAATAAGCACGTTGTTAAAAAAAGTTCCCTTATTCGATCTTAATCATACATTTTTTACTTTATTAATTCACGTACAATTCAATTTTGGTGAAACTTTAGAAGACTTGCAAGTATATAACTTCACTTTTATATGAAAGAAATAATGTGGTTTTTCGTGGATACTAAACGTTAAAAGTTAGAAATGTAAGACCAAAGTAAATGTAAATTGCAAAATCCAACAAAAAAAATATGTTACTCTTCCCGTCCCAAATTGTTTTGCAAAGTCAACATTTTTTGGTCAACTAATAATAAAAGTCAATCCTCCCAATCGATAATTAACTCAGTTTTTGATAATTAAAATTTAAATATTCAGAAACTACTTTAAAATCTCTTCAAAGTTGCAAACTCCAAATTAGAATATAATTAAAAATTGACATCCTGATCAAGCAAATAAAATGAAACTGTTTTATCAATAAAAGTCAAATTTGTAAATGAATTTGGGACGGAGGTAGTATGTGATATGGGCGGCTAACAATATGTAGTTTTGACTCCGCGCGTTGAATTGTGTCATACTTAAAATAAGTACAGTTGGAGATACTCTTTTTATTGAAGTTAATGTAGATGATCATTTTAGTAATTTCATTAATATAATTTTTTCTTAATTTATAAAATATATTTTAAGTATAATATTTCATAATTCAACATATTAAATCACTACATCCAAAATTTCATTAATTTCAATAGGTTCAACTAATTCAATCAATTTCAGTATTACTAAATGAGCCTAAATACATGACTGAGTCCAATAATGTTGCTTCTATTTGATATTTTCACTACAAAAAAACATTTAGGCACTTAAATTAGACACTTAATGTTTTGGTGATTATAGTCACCATCTTTGTCACTTATATCAGAGTGACTAAATTGAAACTCTTTGTCACCAACTTTCTCACTTAGAATAGCAAGTGAAAACCCCAAATGACCACTTCACGCGTACATATATAGCGAATGCGGGGATTTGTTAGACGAAAAGTTTAGAATAATCTAAAATTTTCCTGATATAGAAGTAAAGTCATTCAATAATAAGTAAAAAAAACTGTAGTAAATTTGCATCATGTTATACTATACGTATGTAAATAAATTAAATTGAAGAATTAATGTTAAATTTGAAATCTTATGTACTTCGTGCGAGCATGATCTTTTTCACCGTGTACTTCGTACGAAGTAAGATATGAAAATAATATAAATAACTAATAAATTAACTCTTTTTCAAAATAAAAAATGTAACTCCCTTAATTAAATTAAATCAGCTCTATTTTAATTTCGCCACTCCCTATCATTCATTATCCCACTAAAATATGACCATCACTCCACTAAATAATACCCTGAAATATTGGCACATACATCACACTTGCCCCATAACTCCCAAAGAAGAGCGCATAACTGAATAGGATAGCAATGAGTTCAATACGCATAATAGCAAGTTCAGCCATATTTGAAACAAGGCAATCGCTTTCTGCTCTATCGCACGGCATCGACTCAAAGTTCAGGAACACTACTATCTCAGTCGAAACATCCAAAGTACGTATTTAGTTTCTTCACGGTTCTGGAACAGTGGGCGTTGGTTGCGGCTATCTTTCGTTTTAATTTAGAAATAATTACATAAATATGACCAAAATAAAGATGATTTACAAAAATATGATTCATTACTAGAGTAGTAATGAAATCATAGTAATTTATGTTCAAGTTTTGAACTTTAGTTACCACAGCACTACGTTGTAGTAATGAATAGTCATATTTATGTAAATAAGTTTTATTTTAGTAATATTCTCGTAAAAAACCCTTTAATTTAGGGAAAATGAAAACTAATAATCCAACCTTTTAGCGATCTTCTTATAATAGTCTCACATTTTCGTTATTCAAGAATAATCCAATCTTTGCACCTCATCTTCATTCGCTGGTCCCTGATCGATTAGTGACCTGCTATTTCAAGTTATTCTTTGTAAAATATTGTCTTTGTAAAAGGTGAGATTTATGGTATAATGACTTGCAAAGATAATAAAATAACTTGGAATAGGAGGTCATCAACCGATCAGGGACCTGTGAATGAAGATGAGGTGCAAAGGTTGGATTATTCATGAATAACGAAAAGGTGGGACTATTGTAAGAAGACCGTTAAAAGGTTGGATTATTAGTTTCCATTTTCCCTTTAATTTATACATTATTTTTCATGTTTATTGATGTGGTTATACTCTGTATATTCCAAATACTTTCTTACTTCCGTTCCAACAATTCTCGTTCTAGCAAATGGCATCACAAGGGCAATCTTTTCAAGATGGCACAATGAGTTTTACGGGCTTGACGAATTTTCACTTGTCATCGTTGTCGTCAATACCATCTAGCTAGAAATTGAGTTTAGAATTTATTCTTTCCCTTTTTCATTTTCGCATCTTTGAATTTATCAACAACTATTGTTTTATACTCCCTCCGTTTCAGTTTGGTTGACACACTTTCCTTTTTTGGACGTTTCAAAATGAATGCCACACTTCCCATTTGGTAAACAAAACAGTGTCAAACAGTGCCAAACAGTGTTCAAACAGTGCCAAACAGTGTCCAAACAGTGTTCAAATAGTGTCCAAACAGTGCCCAAACAGTAAAATTTACACTATATTGACTGTATGGAAATACATATGATTATACATATGATTATATGGTATTGTTATGAGATTTTCTTAAATATAGTGTATATAAGTTTCCAATATTTTTCATATGATCTGATAATTTTTGAAAAATATTGGAAACTTATATACACTATATTTAAGAAAATCTCATAACAATACCATATAATCATATATAAAATTTACCCCTTAGTAAATGTTTTCCTTAAATGTTGACAAATCAAACTATGTCAACCAAACTGAAACGGAGGGAGTATTTCATCAATTTTTTTTCTTTATATATTTTTCTAATAATGGTAGAAATGTTTAGAAATGTGTAGGTGTCATTGATGATACTCATATAGCCTGTTTCATACGAAGTATATATATAAAACGGGAAATATATGCAATTCACGGAATCACATAGTTTTATTATAAAGTATAAGCATACATCTGAGCAATAATTGACTGTATGGAAATACATATGATCTGACAATTTTTGAAAAATATTGGAAACTTATATACACTATATTTAAGAAAATCTCATAACAATACCATATAATCATATATAATATTCCCTCTATTCCGCTAAGATTGTCCTTTTTTTGCGGTTCGTCCCACTAAGATTGTCTTATATCAAAGTTGATAAAATTGTGTGATTCTAAATCATTTTTAGTTTATCAATTTAATATCAACAACAAACCCATTTTTGTTAATAAACACATTACCTTCTAATGCCTCAATGTTAGTGGGACGTAGGTAGTAATTATTTTCAAAAACATTATCACTTTAATAATATTGGGCAAAAACTGTCGCGCTTTTGCGCGACCCAACGCTAGTATACTAATACATGCGAATAATTTTTTTAAGGCCCTCCTAAACTGTGAGGGCCTAGGAAGATGCCTAGCCTAAC